AACCGCATTGAGTCGCCTTTTGGGGCTGAAAAATGCGGTATAGAAATAAAGCAAATAAATAAATAAATAATACATAAAGCACAGAGTCCCATAGAACACAGTGATAGCTGTGAGATGAGAAGCACAAGTTGAAAAGGCCTTTCGTCTTCCCTCAGCAGATCGGATCTTCAGAATGGTGATTACAACGTAAATATAGTAGACTAAGATAATTAGGGTGGTACTCATGACAACTATGGAAGCAAAGGTAATATGGACAATGTTGTGGCTTTCTTTTAGACAGTGTGGCATCATAATGTGTTTATTACCCTGCACCTTTATTTGGTTCATTGTCATACGAAAACAGCAGTCATGTAAAGTGGACAAACTGGACCTCGAAAATACATTCAATAGGATAAACTGGGATGTAGAGGCATAGATTTCCAGGAAAGATAATTGCTTAATACCGTCACACTAGCTTGACTCTGCAGGGAAATAAAATGCTGTAGATTTTTTATTGGCTAGAGATAATCTCCTGTCAGCAATTATCTTTCCAGATCATAAGAAGATCAAAGGGATTGCTATACTTCTTAATCTAGTACAGCTGACCTCCACGTTTGCTGTTTTGACTTCTGTGTTTTCGATTTTTTGCAGATTAAATTAAAATGCTGTCTCTAGGAATCCCTGGGACCTTCAGTGTTGGTGCTATGGTCAACTTCTTCTGGCCATGCTGGAGGACCTAGAGGTTTCTACAGGCAACACCTCTATAGTAATCTCCAGACCCTCCAGTGCAATTCTAAGGTCACCTTGCAGCAAAATTCAACCTTCGGGTCATACTGGAAGATCTAGAAAATCCTAGAAAGGAGTTCTCTTGGGTAAAAAAAATAGCAATAATTTGCCCTTAACCCCAATGAATGTGGATAGCATAAACACAAGTCTCTTCTTTTGATTTAATTATTTTTTCAGTAACTAAGACATGTTTGTAAATACAGCACCAGGGATTCAGTTCTATTTCCAAGAGTGGTATTTAAGTGGCAACCTACAACAATCTCCACCCACTGAGTGGAGGAGAGAAACATTTCAACAGAGAGGTGAGTCTCTGATTTGTCAGCTGCAATAGTGAGGATACTTCTCCCATCTCTGCCTCTTTTGCAGAGGGAAGTTTTAAGCATATCTTGATGGTAAACACAATTGAAAGCAAAGAGAAATGGTCAATAAAAGTATTTAGAATTAAAGTATTAGTATTGCTCAGAAAAGATTGATTTTTCCTATATTGAGTAGCTATGCTTTACAACACTAGGGAGAAAATGCCTTTCAAAAATGGGACTTTTTTTAGAATCCTCTATTACTTCTCTGTGTTAGTAACAGAGGAGGCTGCCTTATACCAAGCAACAGGATGGTAGAAACTGGAATTGGTAGTTTGGACACGCAAAGTACCAGCTTTTTACTGTACTGTAGTCACCCTCTTTAGCTGATTTTACCCATGTTTATTTAAATATACAAGTCATTCAAACTGCGTAATGAATATATTTCCACATTCAGATGCTTCTGTGTTTTTTGTTTATTTAGACATAGTTTCCAAATACAGCAAATCAGTGTTGACCTCTCCTTTTTTCCACAATGCATCCTGGTCTCTACATAGCCTTTCACCTTCCACTGAAATTATTAAGTCTTAGACAGTGCTTTTGGGAACAGAAAATGTAAAAACATAGAAGTCACTCTATTTTCTCTTTTTTGGGAATATATCTTTAAAATAGTGAAATTAAATGCAAAGTTTCCTCATAGCAGCTGCAAAGGAATTTAATGGGATATGGTGAGAGTTATGTGGAGGGAGGATTGTTGTGAGCCTTAAAGTTGTTTCCAAATTCTGGCGACTCTAAGATGAACTTATCACAAGGCTTTCTTGCCAAAATTAGTTCAGGGAAAGTTTACCATAGCCTTCTGCTGCATCGGGAGAATGTGGCTTGCCCAAGGTCACCCAGTGGATTTCCATGGCCAAATGGGGATTTGAAATATGGTCTTCAGAACCCTGTTCTGACAACCAAACCTCCCAGTCTGTAGAAAGGCTTACAGCTCTGGAAAGAATGCTTAAGATCACATCATTTTAATGCTTTAGTTTTTTTTAAAGAAAGGTAATTGTGAGGAAAGCAAGTTAGTCATTACAGAGTTACTGTGTGTAACTATTAACCTCTTACATTCCCTCCAGCAGAGAATCTCATCTGGGCTAAATGGTGAAGAAGAATCACACTACTGTGACAGAATTTATTTTGTTGGGTTTCACTGACCAGCCAAGGCTCCGGATTCCTCTCTTCTTGTTGTTTCTGCTCATCTACCTTGTCACTCTGGTGGAGAACCTTGGGATGATTTTTTTGATCAGAAGTGATTCTCGGCTTCATACTCCCATGTACTTTTTCATCAGCAACCTATCTCTGCTGGATGTTGCCTATTCGACAGTCATCACTCCCAAAATGCTGATTGCTCTTGTAGCAGACAGAAAAACAATTCCTTTCAATGAATGTGCTGTACAATTCTTTTTCTTCTGCCTTGCTGTGTCCACTGAATGTTACCTCTTGGCTGCCATGGCATATGATCGCCTCACAGCCATTTGTAGCCCACTGCTGTATGTGGTCATCATGTCCAGACGACTCTGCATTCTCTTGGTAGTTGGAGCATATGCCTGTGGCTTTCTCAATTCACTCATCCAGTCATGTTTTATATTCAATTTGTCCTTTTGCTGTTCCAATGTCATCAACCATTTCTTCTGCGATGTGCCCCCCCTCCTCAAACTGTCTTGCTCAGACACACATACTACACATATTGTACATTTCACACTTTCCACCATTGTTGTGTCAAGCACTACCTTGACTATTCTTATTTCCTACATATTCATTCTTGCAACCATCTTCCGAATCAATTCATCCTCAAGCCAGCACAAAACTTTCTCAACTTGTGCTTTCCATTTGACTGCTGTGATCATTTTCTATGGAACTGGTGCATTCATGTATGTGAGACCCTATTCCCATTTTACAATGGCACAGGACAAAATCATCTCTGTGTTCTACACTCTGCTCATTCCAATGCTGAATCCCCTCATCTACAGCCTGCGGAACAGGGAAGTGAAGGATGCCTTGAAGAGGATCTCCAAAAGGACAAGCCCTGCCTGAACACACACGTTTGGGATGCACTTATGTGTTCTTCCCAATCCTTCTTCCATTGTTCTGTCAAGCACATGATTTTGAAGTGCCAGTCAAGCTTGGCAGGTTAAATGATATCCATTTTTAGATTCAGTAGAGAAGGAAAGGGGAGGGAGAGAAAGGAAGAAGGGAGAGTCAGGGAAGTCCATCTCTATGTAATTCTCTCAGCCCATTGATTTATGTCTACCCATGTCTAAATATACACCTGCTTTCTTTGTGTTGTCAAGTTCAAAAGTATCTCTAACATGAATCAATATCTGAACACATTTTGTGTCCTGCTAATCAGACTCAAGGGAAGGATTCATTCTCAACAACAAATGTTAATAAATTACAAATCCTAATGTGGATAAAATTCAATGTCACCAAATGTCATGTCCTTGTAGAGTGTTACTTTTTTGTTGGAGTATTTGCTTTCAGTTAATTGACTCAAGACAGACTCGTTAATGTTTTAAAATGAAATAAACCTACCTGGGGTGGAAATATGTTAAATATTTTGGTTAAAGGCATCATGTAGCCGCTAATTAAAACTGCCTGATAGCATTTGTTGCAAATCAGTGGAAGTTGAAATTATCAACATATTCCTAGGAATGGGCTGCACTGTATCTAGTGATTTCATTCTCATAGAGCAAGTGTGAGAGTATTTTTCTACTTGTAAAGAGCTGCTTGTCTACCAATGTTGTTCTGCCTCAGTTGTGTCCCCATGGGACCTAAGCCCTGCTTTTGTAGTCCCCCTAACCCCAGATAATGTGCCAAAAATCCCTTAGTAACATATCTTTAGGTGCTCAATTTTCAGTTGAATTTGAAGCAAAAACCAAGCCAAAACCACTTCACAGGTTTAACAGTCTGCTTATCCATTGTGCCTGGTCACAAAGGAGTGGCCTTCAGCATGAATTGAGGGCATTAATCATCCCCTACACAGTTGCCCTACCACTACTACCTTCATTTAACAACACCAAGACTTGCAATTTTTCTAACCTCTAGCATAGGCGATAGTGCTTTGTTTATTTAGTAATTAAATCCTAGGCTTTGCCATCAGATTTTTGTGTATTAATGTTATGCACTATATTGAAAATTTTGAACATGTTCCCATCATATGACGCCTGCTGCTCTATACCAGAGAGTAAGTGTTATTGAACTCTTTGGGACTTACTTCCGGCGTTATAAGAATAAAATGGTGCAGTTGAGCAGTTAAGAATTACCACATTGAAATAAATCGGATCAATGATTAAGACAAGAATCTTGAACAATTTGATTGTCTTCATCATCTTTAAAGTTAGGTAAATTGTCTGTGTGTCTTATGTGTAGGGTCCTTAGTTTTAGCCTCCTTATTTCTGATTATTTCAGTCGCATAGTGACACCAATGTAAACATAAATAAATAAAAACATCACACATGTCTTAAAAGAAATGATCACTGCCTGAAGATACATAAGTAGTTGTACAATAAATCATATTCTTGCCAGTTTCCTAATGATTATTTGGGCTCAACAACATATCAGTGTGCCATCCCCACTAGGTGCCTCAGATGTCATGTCTGTTTCCTTGACATACAGTTATAGCTTGCTTCCCCTGATTTTCTTTGGAAAGTGGTGACAAGCACTAATATTCTAAATTTGCTCCTTTAACCATTCTCATATTGTCAGCTAGACTTGTATGTTTGATGTGGAAATACCCTTGGTTCAGATATAGTTCAGATGTTTAGCACTTTTGAAGCGAGTTCCAACACGGCTGCTTGCTGCCCCCTCCCCCGCCCCAAAATTAAGAATTTGAATCAAAAGGTGCCTTCAATTCTTAAGCTTCAAATGTGTTTGGATGTAGCTGTGATGAAGCTAAAATTCACAGGACAAGCAAGCCCTGCTGAGAGGCAAAGCCAAACCTGTCAGCATGCCTCTCCAGCCAATCAGGGATGACAGAGGAGGGAGGGGGAGGCAGAAGCAGCGATTGCTAAAAATCTAGTTTTTAAAAACTTTGAAAATTCCCAAAAAATAGTGTATTAGTGAAACATCATGAAAGTTGATAGGTAAAAAGTGGAAAATGTGTTCCACCATTGTGGCAAGTTTCATCCCAATAGCTTTAAAAATGAAGGAGATAGGCACCTGTGAACTTTCCCCATTTATAGTAATTTAAGCCATATGCCTGCATGAAACTACCTTTCCCAGAATGCATTAGGCTATAGCATTAGTTAGGCTTGACTCTGAAGGAGCTGGGGGTGGTGATGGACAACAGGGAGCTCTGGCGTGGGCTGGTCCAGGAGGTCACGAAGAGTCGGAAACGACTGAACGAATGAACAACAACATAGCATTAGAGTCAATCTAAAATTCACAGAGCAACCAAGCCCTGCTGAGAGACTAAGCGAAACCTATTGGCATGTCTCTCAGCCAATCAGGGAGGGAGGGAGAGGTGGAGATCACTCTTGTACATTTTTAAGTCTTTAAAAAGATTCTGTGGATGAGTGAATGTTATGAAACTTGACGGGCAAAGAGTGGAAAATGTGTTCTACCATTGTAGCAAATTTCACCCAAATAGCTTTAAAAATGAGGGAGATAGGAGCCCCATTTATAGTAATTTTTAAGTCATATGCCTGTGCTAAACTACATTTCCCAGAATGCATTGGGCTGCAGCAGCAAATCATAGTGTTTAGACAGTCTATAATAAGTAAAATCATGGAACCTGCAAAGAGGGCTAAAGTAAGTAATAGTATAAATCTGCGCCAAATTGTAGTTATCTGGTTGTGTGTCAAGGGAAAGCATATTAATTGGATGTCGGGAGAGTTTAGATTGTGCCTTTCTGTCTGGAAGAAGGGGGTCAGTCGAGATCAGGCATGGGCACATGCCTATTATCACTGCATGACCTAACAACATTTGCTGCTTAATAAACACTGGCTGTTAAAATGCATTACAAAATTTGGATGATTTGACTTATCATTTCTTTTTTCTGCAAATGGTTTTTATATTTATCTTGTGTAAATTTTGAAATCTGCAAATGTACACAAGATAAATATGCCTTCTGGGGTTTGTTTTTTTTACATTTTACATAGATCACCCTAAATTAAATGATTTAATCTCTAAGAAAGGTAAGGGTCTCCTCTTTGTAGAGAGTTCTTTTTACCATGGAGTGTAGCATTACTGATATTGTATGCTCTGTTAGCAAGAGTTACCATCATTTCAGTTATTTTTCTTTACTCTCTCCCTCTTAATTGATGGAGTGTCCACTGCAGTGTTTTCTCTTTTGTATTGCAGTATTCTGTGAAGCTAGTATCTACAAGAGTGATGGCATATGACTGCTTCATAAGTATCTGCAACCCTTTGTTGTATATTGCTATTTTGTCAACAAAAAAAACCTCTGCCATGTATTCATGGTCGGCTCACATTTAACAGGTTATGTGACTGCAATTGTTCAGACATCATCCATATTGAACTTGTTGTTTTGTAGATCCATGTCATCAACTATTTCTTTTATGGTGTGCTTCTTATCTGTAAACACTCCTGTTCAGACACAAGTTGAAGATTCCAGCCTTTCATCCTCTCTGCAGTTACTGTGTCAGTAACTATCTTGACCATTCTTGTCTCATACACATACTTGCTTGTTACCATCCTGGGGATAAAAAATGGTATTCAAATGGCATTGTTTCTATGCTAATGTATTGTTTATTTTATATGCAAAATTTGTGAGTTGCCCCGAGTCCCTTCGGGCAGATGGTGGTGAAGTATAAATAAATTTGTTTATTATTATTATTATTATTATTATTATTATTATTGGGTTGTTGTTATTATTATTATTATTATTCATACAGCCTGTCAGCTGAAGGCAGACATAAAGCCTTCTCACCCCGTGCCTCTAACCTAACAGTACTCGTTCTCTTCTTGGAGCAGCAATTTTCATGTACTTGAGGACCAGTTCAAAATAGTCTATTGAACAGGACAAAATCCTCACCATGTTTTAACAAGAAAGTCAAAGAGGCTTCCAAAAGGCTTCTTGAAAGCAAGGATGTGTCTTAGAGCTAGCAACCAATATAAGGCCTCTTCCACACAGCTGAATAAAATCCCACATTTTCTGCTTTGAACTAGAATGTATGGCAATGGGGATTTGGATAACCCAGTTCAAAGCAGATATTGTGGGATTTTCTGTCTTGATATTCTGGGTTATATGTCTGCATGGAATGGTCCTAAACCTGACTTCATGCTAGCAACAGTAGTCCTCAACCATAGATCCTCAAAGTGTTCTGCATGTCAGCTCCCAGGAGCCCCAGCAAATGAGGAATTCTGAGAGCTGAAGTTGAAAACATCTGGAAGACAAAAGGTTGTGAAATACTGCCTTACATCTTTCACTGCAGTCTTCTGGATGCTGAATTGCAACTCCCAGTAGCCCTAGCCAGTATTGACAGGACAGGTCTCTTGGCTCCCACCTTATTCACATTTAATATCCATGACAGGTTTCCTTTCGTTTTGATCAGGCAGATGGGAAGATATGAAAAGACATGAAATTTATGGTTATTCAATTTATTATTATAGTGGTTTTACTACTAACAACATGTCTTGGGCAAAACATGTTTAATCCCCCCTCATAGGCCCCATCTACACTGTCATTATAATGCAGATTGAACTGCATTATATGGTCAGTATAGTAGATTCATATAATCCAGTTCAATGCAGTTAAACTGCATTCTGAAACAGCATTATATGACAGTGTAGATTGGCCCCCAGTTCCTACTGAACACAATGAGATTTACTTCTGAGGAATGTTCAGTTTGTTGAATGGCAGGGTGTCAAGACTACTTTAGGAATGTATATAATTTATATACATCTAAATTGTAGTGTATTAACTACCACAGTCTGCATATTTTCATTGTCACTTCCATCTTACTTCACTGCTAACATTGCTTTTCATCTGCATAATGGGACTGCCACTCAATACATCTAATTAAACAAAATTTCGTTCTCAAAGGATTATGTCATAATAAATGTGTTAGCCT